CCCAGCACTTTGGGAGGCGAAGGCGGGCAGATCACAAGGTCACTGGGCATGGTGGTGTGCACCTGTAGTCCCAGCTACTCGGGAGGCTGAGGCTTGAACTCGGGAGGTGGAGGTTACAGTGAGCCAAGATGGCACCACTTCACTCCAGCCTGGTGCCTGGTGACACAGAGACTCTGTCTGGAAAAAAAAAAAAAAAAGTAAATGGGAATTAAGATGGGGGTTCAGCCCCAAGGCTGAGAAGACTTGGGGCAGTGGTGGGACCAGAGAACCAGCATTCTGACCCCTCCCCTCCCTTCCCTGCAGAAATTCTGAGTGGAGTTATTCGGAGTGTCAAGAAGGATGGGGAGTGGAAGGTATGGGCAAGGCAAATGCCTCGGTACCCAGAGGTAGCCCCTGATCAGGCCCATGAGGAACACCCTGAATGTGGAGACCCTGACAACTGCCTGTCCACAGGGGTGGAGTTGGGTGAATGGGTCCTGGGTCCTCCTGCCCAGCCAGCCCTTGAAACTGCCCCTCCCACTGCCTTGGCCCTTCCTGGGGCCAGCTGTGGCCTCTTCCGCCTGCTTCTCCATCCATCTGTCCATCCATCTGGACAGGTGCTTATCATGGATCACCCTAGCATGCGCATCTTGTCTTCCTGCTGCAAAATGTCAGACATCCTAGCTGAGGGCATCACCAGTGAGTAAACGTGTCCCCAGTGAGATGGGACCTGAGTGCGGGACCCCCTGAATGTGCCCTGTTCCCAGGGTGCAGCCCTGGAGTGTAGGATCCCCTCAAATCGTCCAGAACTCCCAAGTATACAGCTCTCTGCTGCACAGACAGCCCAGATCATGTGACCAAGTACATTTCCTAAATGTTGCAAGCTGACCTCGGGAGCCCACGAATTTCAGACCTCCCCTGCAGGACTCCTCGGCTGCAGCCCCTTCCTGACCGTGCAGCCCCTGCATGGAGCCCTGTGTGGGACTTCCAGGGTGGACTTTGGATGTGGGGACCCAAGAATGCAGAGCCTTCGATGGGTGACTCCAGGAGGTGCCCCAGTCACTTTGCCATTGAGGGACAGGTGCTGAGGGAGCCTGTCCTCTGAGAACCTCAGTTTCCCTGTCTGTAAATTTGGGAACCCAGTTGGCTGCAGAACCCCCAAGTCTGTAGAACCCCAAGTGTACAGAACCCTCTCGTGTGGCTCTTAGCTGGGTGACCCCCTAGGTGTGTTTCTCCTGCTGTTGCCCCTAAGCATCCAGCCCTCCTCCCCAAGCCTCCAACTCCCCACACCTGAGACTCCCCACGTGGCCCTGCCTGGATGCCACCCACCCATGTCCCTTCCTCTGTTCCTCCCAGTTGTTGAAGACATCAACAAACGGCGGGAACCCATTCCCAGCCTGGAGGCCATTTATTTGCTGAGCCCCACAGAGAAGGTGCCTACATGAGTGAGCGTGTGTATGTGCACGCATGTGTGTACAGGTGTATGTGTGCATGTGTACGTTTGTGCATCTGTGTATGCATGTCTGTGTGTGTGTGCACATGTACCCATGTGGATGCTGGTGTGCACGTGCACATATGCATGACCCTGTCTATCCGTGTTTGCATATGGTGGCAGATGGGCAGTGGCTGGGAGGTGGGGGCAGACAACGAGCCTGCGGGTGTAGGCTCAGGTCCAGAGAGTGACCCACCTTCCCCAGTCGGTTCAGGCCTTGATCGCAGACTTCCGGGGAACCCCGACCTTCACCTACAAAGCGGCCCATATCTTCTTCACCGACAGTGAGTGAGGGGAGCCCAGGGTGTCAGGGTCTGGGGCGAGGAGATGTGTGGGGGCTGCTCTGGCCTGATACCCCCCTCCTGCCTCACCCCAGCCTGCCCCGAGCCCCTGTTCAGTGAGCTGGGTCGCTCTCGTCTGGCAAAAGTGGTGAAGACATTGAAGGAGATTCACCTTGCCTTCCTCCCCTATGAGTCCCAGGTACGGCCCAGGCTCCTCCTGGTGGGGGTCTGTGACCAAATGTCCCCTGTTCCCTCAGAAACAGATACTGAGGCTGGGTGCTGTGGGAGGCCAGGGCAGGAGGATCACTTGGGGCCAGGAGTTTGAGACCAGCCTGGGCACAGACCAAGACCCAGTC